TAATTATTGTATTATACTATTTTAAATACGGTACCGTAGTTGCCTATAGAGCCAGAATTTATTGATTTGAAAATTAAGTCAAAATGATATATCATTTTCAAATGCATTTACTGCTGATGAAATAGGGTTATGACATTAGGGAGTTTTCGATGCACGACGTTAACCTTAACTTTAACGTTAGTACCCGACATGCAGCACGATAGCTCCGACCCTTTTGTAAACAAATCGTAATACGCATGCGCAAACCCGTAACTAACGCACGTCGAGCACGTAAAATCCTGAAATTAACGTACCCGCAAACGCAAGATGAATAAATTATGACGTCATCCGTTAAAGTTCAGGTTACCGTCGTGCATCGAAAACTCCCTAATATGAGCAACGCGGCGGATTCTCGTGCCGACAGGCTGTCAGAGGACCTTATTTATTGATTAATCTATGATTTACAAAATACTGCACTAATCAACGAAAATATTGAGAGTAGCCATACGTATGGACAATAGAAATGATGATTACGATGATCGTGATGAGATTGAGGATGACTATGACGATGATGGTTACGCGTCGACGTTGATGATGATGATGATAATGATGAAGACAATACGTTGATTACAACATAAATGATTAAGATGATATTGTCTATAATAATGAAAATGATGGTCGTGATGATGATGATGATGATGATGATGATTATGACGATGATGGTTACGACGTCGATGATGATAATGAAGACAATACGTTGATTACAACATAAATGATTAAGATGATATTGACTATAATAATGAAAATGATCGTCGTGATGATGATGATGATAATAATATAATAAAAATGATTACGATGATGTTGATGATTATACTAAAGATGAGGATGCATTGATAATATCGAGTACATGATGATAATCTTCTATACAAAAAAAGGGCACGGTCGATTGCCAGTTAATCACTTTTTAAGTTAAAATCCCTCACAAAGATACACACCTCCCACCTTGGCTCATTTATATACGAAAACACCTTGTGTCATATTGGGACTATTACCCCTGGCAGGGGACTCTTTACTTGCACGGGTTTCTATCAAATTATCCCTTTTAAATTAGAATCCTATAATTAACACAAAATTTTATTACCGTATCTTTTAATATAAAAATTTCCCAACAAATTACATTTTCCACGACCGGGGTAACGGTGGGGAGGTCACAACGTTCGGGTGTGGACCCCTTGTCGGGGAGCCTGGACCCCTCCCAGACCTAAAATGATGAAGAGGATGAAAGACAATGATGATGAGAATGACAATTAAAGTTAGGCCTATGATAATGGTAATTATGATGATGTTTACGAAGGTGACAAAAATGACGACGACGATGATGATGTCATCAGTGGCGTATCTAGAAGGTGCGGTGGGGGGGGGGGGGGGGGGGGGCACACACGCGCCCTCCCAAAAATTAGTTTTCCTCCTTTCGCCCCAAGCAGATAAAAATCACCTACATCACCTGTTTTTGCCCCTCAACTGATCATCAAGAACCCCATCCCCCACCCCCGTTTCAAGAATTCTAGATACGCCCACTGGATGTCATGCGATTTCATTATTGCATAACTGACTTTGATGACGATGTCCAGACGATAACCTTGACAATGAAGATTATGTGGATGTGGATTTTCATTGCGCTCTCTTACAGTTCACACAAATGTATTTTTTCCTACATTTCCATATATTGAAATAAAAAAATCCCAGCCTGTGGTGATTGGCTGCGGTAGGATTGCGCGTAGCCTCAACTGCGTATTACGGTCTCACTGACCATTAATTAAAACTGTATAGGCATAATCAAACCATAGAAATATAAGAAGAATAGCTACGGTATATGATTCAAACACAAATATTTTGGCAAATTTTGGTTACAATAATGTTAGCAAATTAAATTCTGTTTGTCAAAAGATATAGCCTAACAATCGGTAATGGAACTCAGGAACTATAATCACTATGATAATAATATCACATCCACAGGGAATAGTAAAATTACTAGTTTCATTCTTGTCTCGTTTTCCAGGAATTCAATTAACCTGGTTTCCTCGGGAAACAGGGCGATCCAATGTTCCTAGAACTGAAATTAAACTTTTTAATCTAGATCTACAATATTGTACTATAATTTTCGAGTGTGACACTTCAGCCTAGAAAGCTCAACTAAAGGAACCGATCATTACAAAAATGAACATATAGGAGGCCCACTCAGAAATCAGTATTATATTTGGGCCAAATAGTTGCATATCAATCATTGACTAAATACATTACATTAATGTAAAACAGCTGATACCTTAAATTAATCCCGATGACATGCTTGTAATAGCATTTTGCACGAGCGTTTGTTATGACTCAGCAAACAATTACCGTACTGTTTACCGATGTGCTTCGGTCGGCCTATTAAACGTCACTATTGCAACAACAATTTAACTTCGCTAAACGATAGATGGCGCACTTCAAATGTTACAGAGTAAACAAGAGTTAGTTCCAGTGTGCATGTGTTATAGAGAGGCCTAGGCCCTAGACACATTTGGAATTAAATTCGTTAATGTGTCCTAAACCGGCTATTTTGTATCACATGTTAATGCATAAGGTAGGCTTGAGTAGATATACGTATCTGCTGTTAGTTGTATATATAGCCGGTACATCATAAAACCCAAAATAATGAACGGCAGCCTAGCTAGGCCCTGCGCGCATGAGAATTTCGCTACTTTCTCCTCAAAACCCGGGCGTAGCTTTGTTCAAACCGGGGCTGCTGATTGCGGTGAAAGCCATCTAGGGCCTAGCATAGGCCTACCCACAGCAGGATATTTTTCTACTTTAGCCTGCAGTATGGTACGGCCGTCCAGAGGCAAAACAACGTAACTGACAATTTTGTTGATTTTGAGATAATATAATTTGGGAGTATATTATTATTAAACACTTCTGAATAACTTGGGATAATTTCACTATTCAGGTCTCAAGAGTGAGTCGTTTCAGAGACCAAGATCTACCTTTAATTTAAGCATCACTTAAAATCTACTGATTTTCCATGGTAAAACAATGTAACTGCAAGATTACTGGGCAAAACAATGTACCTACGATGTAGATATGTTGTTTATTTATTGCCAAGGGGGGGTGGTGCCCCGACGAAGGGTCAAATTTCCCTGACGAAAGCAAAGTGGGCATGGTCGAGCTTCGACTAAAAAAGGTCCCGAAAGTGGTCCTGGGGGTGAAGCCCCCGAAAATTTTGACAATTTAGGGGTCTCAAAGACTTATTTCATCGATTTTAAAGTCTACTAATATGTAAAAAACACATATAATTTTTTTTCCTCCCCGACGGGGAGGCCAGCCCTGGCCCCCCTCCCGCTGGCGCCACCCCTGGGAATGGCCAAGTTGCCGTGGCGTATCTAAGGGGTGTGTGAGATAGTTTATGTTTTGTTACAGAGAATAATTTTGAGAATATTTAAATATAACATACTGTAGTTTAAAAAATGTTTTTTGTATTTAACTTTCTCGATGAAATGATAAATTTTTTGGCCCAATTTAATTGAAACTTGGAGCTGAGTTCAGTTGAATTTTTAGGGTTGATTATTCGCTAAGGACTTAAAATAGGGGTGTTTAAACATCTGGACTCTGTTCACTTTAAAGAACCCATTGCATATTTCGGAAGAATAGGGGGTTACCTTGATGATTCTGTGGTTCATTTCATCCCCTGTTGTGGAATGGATGCCAGTCAATTCGAGCGGATGTCAGTTCGAGCGGATGCCAGTTCGAGCGGATGCCAATTCGAGCGGATGCATTTAGTGCGAACTATAACAAGGGCGAATTTATCGTCGCCGTATTCTTGTATTTGTTTGTTTTCAATGCAAAAAAATGCTCTGATTACTAAGGTTCTGAAAGGTTTTTAGTACTTTTTGATAATTACTCCATGTTTGAATTACAGTCTTAGCAACTCCGACTACCAAGATGGCCGCTAACAAGTTAAAACTACAATAGAATTGCGCACTTTTCAGCTTCAAAAAGAAGAAAGTGCATGTTTTACTAGAGTGCACGAGAAGCACACACACAAGACGAGTGACCATTATTTTTTCCACGGTAAACAAAGTGGGGTGGCTAGCCACCCTATTCACCACCCCTCCCCCTCCCCTTCCCCAGATCTGCCACTGGTTGGGGTTCTATATTTAAAAAAGCAAATTATATTTGTAATTGAGTTATGCTACTCACTTATCTATTCTGGAACTGTTGTGAGCCCCCTTTCCCTTTGAAAATGTCGAATTTTTAGCTCAAATTATATTTGTAATTGAGTTACTGTATGCTACTCACTTATCTATTCTGGAACTGTTGTGTTCCCCCTTCCCCTTTGAAAATGTCAAATTTTTAGCTCAAAGATAGGAAATTTTGAAGAAATTCGTATATAACTCGCACAGGTTGTTGTTCGCACAAGTGGATCTTCTTCCGCTCAAACTAGCATCCGCTCGAAAAAAATTCCGCTCTAATTGGCCTTCGCTCGAAGTGGCATCCACTCGAATTGACTGGTTCCCTGTGGAATGATTAAGGAACAATGAAGCTACTGTACTATAAGTGCCTCTCTACTGTACAGTACGTAGGTAGTCACAGACCACCCCCATACGCGCAATTCGGCACAATGATACTGCAAGTTGGTTATCCTACTTTTACCATACCTCCTGTATGTTAAAGCAAAATGTCTAACATCAAATTTGTCAAACTTGGCATCTCTATGCATTGCCTACATAATACGTCTTTGTAGTCATAGTTCCTGCCCTCAGCAATTAGAAAACAGATCACAGAATATAGAACTTTAATTGACTGGTTCTTTAAGCACCCTGGAATGAGTCTGATCAAATGTAGCCTTACACATCTAGATGTGTATAAGAGACAGGTATATATTGTTTGTTATTATGATAATTGTATTAAAACGAAAAAGAACACTGAAATAAATTAGTCGTTTCTCAAATTATCTTCGGGGTGGTTTGTATTTATTTTTTTGTTCTTTAACTTTTCTAGCACGGTTCCCCAAAGTTCCCAATATTACATCATACATCAATACAATAAAAATTATATCAGTAGTATCTACTGAATAGACACTCTTCTAAATACGTAATCTGGTGCATGGCTTTCTTTTTTGTTGTAACCTACAGTAGTTGTAAAATGGTGGATATATGTTGTATCGTAGTGATGATGCAGTACATTGAATTTTGTTCAGGATGTTAAGTACATGTGTCCCACTTTTGAACATAATAATGTCCCACATTTTGGGGTTGGAATGCCTGCAAAGGTATATTAAAATTGTTGATTTAGTCTTGTCATAGAATTTCCAATACTTAAATTATTTTTGTTAACAATCAGAAGCTCAGTGTGCAATATTAAATAAATATTGATTCTATTCTATTACAAACATTTTTTCTCCATAGTTAATAATTGGCCATGACCTTTGTCGCTAATTTCCTCCCCCAGAGCAAGTGAAGAAAGTGAAATCAAAGAACTTCCTCGAGGATTGGAGGGGTGGGAGCCTGTGGACGATGTTTATCGTATCAGTCGTTATCCAATCAAAGCTCGGCCCCTAAGCGAATGCATTGATGAATTGAGATCACAAGATAAATGGGCATATTGTCGAAAACCAGAATTGTATAGCGACAGAACAGTGAATTTGAGTCTGCTTTTGGATTTGGTAATAGAGAAGAAGGTACAAGTAGAAAATTTATTTTTCCCCATATTTATTTTTTTACATTCAACAACAGCTGGCTGGAATATGAAATGCAATGCTTCATCTCATTTGGAAGCTGAAATTGTGAAGTTCTTTTGGGTCACAAGAAAAAATGATTTTTGAAAATTACTTGAAGGAGCTTGGGATGCTACATTAACCATAGCTAGGTATACAGTTATATTATACATTTATCTGTCAAACTCAACAATGTTTGATTAAACTAATGAAGTAAAGTCACGAGTTCCAACAAACATGTAAAGACACAGCATTTGTTTCCCTCACCAGATTTATCTGAAATAATCTGATCAGACATTGTTAGACTCAAAAATGTTTGAATAGACTTTATGTGATGAAGTAGAACATTGTCCACTTTCCAACAAACTTGCGTAAAGTCACAAAATTTGTTTGATTATCTGAAATAAGCATACACTATAAAACTGGAAGTGCATACTGCTTAAGTCTAATTAGAAAAATCATAGAAGTAATGTACAGTGTTACACTACAGTATCGTACTATGCTAAATTGAGGATTGATCATTTTGTCTTACAGAAAAAAGTGGATCCGTTCCAAGGCATGGTCATACTGCCCCACAAATTTAAAGAATATAATAAAGTATTATGCTTTGCAGAGGTGAGCATTGACTTATAGTAATAATAATCATTATTCGAGGCGCTTAGAAACCTTGTTTATTTGCGCCTTATAAATTGACATATTATTTATTTATTTATTATTATTACTAACGTTAATAATATCAAATGACTTGGATGAAGTGAATTTGCACTTTACAAAATCACTTTCTCAGTTATGAATAAAAACATAATTAATAGGACATACAATAAACAACCTCCTCTACTTCCTTGGGGGATTCCCAGTTATGCATAAACATTCAGCATCCAGGTACCTCCTTATTACTCATGGGTAACCAGGGAAACAAACAGAGATTAAAGTGGTCTGTCCAAAAACATGACACAATAAAATGTTTGTTTTTACATGACCAACATTCCCTAGGATGATTTTCTGTGTCAAGTGTGAAGACACATTCAGAATAAAGCAAACCTAATTTAAATATGATTCAAGATTTCAAACAGAACATGATTGCTTGTTAAATTAGGAATCTTATCTTTAATTAAACTCATCTTCTTTTCTATTAAAATCAAACAGCTGAAGTATTAAGGGAATGCTTCTAATTTGCATAATTTTCTCTAGGGGAATTTAAAATGACTTTTTGAATGTGTTAAAAAACATCATCAATAAATAAAGTGTTACTTGGCAAGTTTGAGTATTTGGCTGGTGCGAGAGATTTAAAAAAACCACATTCGCTAAGATCCCTGGTTCCTTTAAAGTAAAGAGAGAGGAGAGGGAATTACATTATGCGTTACAAAAATAAGGTCTCGTAATCTCAAAAGTATAGCAGTATAGTAAGATATACATTTTTAAATAATTAAATGTTCAATTGAACAAAATTAAAATGTCTTAAAATTGAAAAATAAAATGTCTTAAAATAAAAAAATTGAATACCAAGACACGATTCAACTCACGACCTTTGGTTCAATAGAACACATCGTTAAGCGACCACGTCATCTATATGACGTGTCCTATTAGTTGTATTAGCAGTATGTATAGTCCATGGTATTGGTGGCGCACTTCATAAAAAAAAGGTCTATTAATCAATCAGCAGCGTACCCTAGAGCTGCTTATTGGAGCTAAAAATAATTAGAGAGCTACAGTATACGTGGTGATAAATCAAACATATCTTTAGATCTTACACATCATGTCTTGAATATTTACCATGCATTATCATAATAAATCACATGTTGTAAATGTTTCTTAGTATGAACCCTATTCATATTATCCTTTTGGTTAAATGAACTTACTGCAAATAAGTAATCATATTAAAAGTAAACCATTATTATGATGAAATAAGTCTTGAAGTTTTGCATGGCAAATTAACATTAATAAATAATAGGTTTTCAGTACACCCTGCGGCGTGTGCTACAAATCTCAATTGATGTTATCTCGTAATTATTATTGTAATTGTTTGGATGTAATGTGCCAACGTTTCGGTTAGTGTACTCTAACTGTCTTTAGGGGAAGAAAATGATAATTATTATTATAATTAATATCTTCATAACCTTCTACATGCTATAGGATGACCAGGCAACTGAAGCACTGAAAAGTGGTGCCCACAAGATTGGTGATAAAAGCACCGTCGATAAAATCATGGAAAGAGAATTTAAAGATTTTGACTACGTAGTGGCAACTCCTTCATCGATGGCAATCCTAATGCCACTGAAAAGCAGGCTGAGAAAAAGGTTTCCAAATCCAAAAAGAGGTAAGACTAAACAGAGGTAAATAATGAATCAGTTAAAATTTCATTTCGGTATCACCTATTTTTTTGTGCAATTTTATAAGACTGACTAAATTTAAGTTTTCCAATTTTTGTTTACTATTATGTTGAGCCCAAAGTAATCAATCAGTTAAAATTTCATTTTTGTATCATCTATTTTTTGTGCAATACAATCAAATTTTAATTTAGAGCCCATAGTACAAAGTGTGATGTTTCAGAAGGCTATTTTCAAGCTTTAATTAATAAAAATAATGAATTTTGCCACATTTTTATTAAGCAGCATGTAAAGCAGGGATGGGCCCCACAAGCAAGCTAGAATCTCCTGGAAAATAACCAACCTCCCGCAAATTCATAATATTTGCATGTTGTTACTATTTTATTATCAATTGCCTCACGAAAATCAGTGCCGATGGCTAAAAATTGTATCCTAGAGCCGCCACTGGGTGCAAAGGTATTGAAGATCAATTTAATAGATCACAATGGGATAAAACATGGGATGGTCATTTACATAGTGCAGGCTATTTGGAAGGCCAAGTGGTACCACTACCTACAGCAATAATATCGGCGTTGGTTCGAACGGCATTCTTGCCTATAGTTCTGGTGGTGGAACAAGTCTTCTCAGATAAGGACTGTAGGCCCAGTGTACTGTAAAGAACCCAGTACACATTTCAAGAGGAGTAGGGGATTACCCTGGTGTAATGGTCCATACAGCCCCTGTTGTGGACAGACAAAGATAGCTGGTACTGGTTTACCGGGTAGCACAGACATGAAGAGACCCTTAGGGGATAAGAAAGTTACTCTGCGAGCTAGTCCACACCTCGAGCGCTTGGAGACTTTGGTATGAAGCGCTATATAAATCCAACCACATTATTAAACATTTTATTGTTTGATTTCTTTTTCTTTCTGGTTTCAGTTAAGTCTAAGTAATTCTCAGTTAGAAGAAAATGTCAAGACATTAATAGAAGCTATATGTAAACACAAGCCACCAACAGCTGGTAAGATCTCAAAAGTCAGAGTAGCTTTGTAGTAACTTGTTAATCCTGTTTATCACCTCATAACCTCTCAAGAATACAAAAATTAAAACCTGAACATTCAGAATCTGCAATTTAATAGCAAGGGCCATGAAAATATATAATTTACAAACACAAGTTTACATTTATGACTGCACGCTAAGTTATGTTCCACTGTAAATCACTGTTGTATTGTCAGGGCTTAGGATAACATTCCCTTGTATTAATTTACTGTATGTCAACATGTGATATTTTAGACCATTTTTTAACACTTGCCAAGTTAGTTACTGATTTTATAGTGATAACTAATGATCTTAATTGGTTGGTGTGCTTTACAGTGGCAGGTCTTTTCAATTTCCTTGCTAAAACTGGTCTAGAAAGTGTGCCTCCCCCGTCCTGCCTTATCTGCTCCAAAAGCCTTAGGACCTTTTTTTTTGCTTTATAACATTACATAAAACAAAGAAATAAATGAATAAAAATTCATTACTCAAATCCTGGTTATCCTATTTCAAAAGTATAGTACTTATAGCCAAATTTTAGAGAAATACTGCAGTTTTTCCTTCTTGTTTTTCAGGTCCTCTTATTAGGAAAGCAACGATCAATGCATTTTTATTGGATGGGCATCCATTTGAATTCCAGTCCTATGTTCCTGTTCCCACGGAAGATGATAAATTCCAGTATGAACTACACATGATGGAGGAACAACTTCAGAAAAAGTTGTAGAGCTTCATCTTACCAATTGCTATTTTCTCCTATTAGAACTCCCTCCATTTTAACTGTTAACTATTGTTTCAAAATACATTTGGCCTTCTACTCAAAACAAATGAGATCCACTTGGAATTCTGCTCCTGGGTAGGTATTGTTCCTATGACCCAGGCCCATTGCCAAGGGTAACATATACGTTCTGCATTGGTTACATTTGACTAAATGCTATTAATATTTCTAATATAATATTTGTTTCATAGCAATTAAACAATGAGCTCTCTTGGTGAAATAAAAATTCTGAAAGAATTTCATCTGGTTCTATATACTAGAAAAATTAATTGTTGAATAAATATTCTATAAAAAAACTGCCATGTTTTTGTTTCCACTACAGTACAAAATTCCTGTATATTGAAAGAATTTTTTAGCATATTTAAATTGCATTCTGGTACTCACTGTATTGAATTATGAAAGGTATGAAAACTGTATTGATACTACTGTATTGGATTGGATTGGATTACTTTGGTGAGAAACGCCAAGAATGAACCACAAATGTCTAAAGACTTATTTGCAGTGGGATACTTATGCCCAAGAATGTACACCGGGAGACAGTTATTGATTTTTACAATAGGAGATAATCCCCAGCTTTTCTCCAGAGAGTGTACTGCATCTTTTATATTGCACACAGGACTAATGGCGTGAACGGCTGCATTTCAGATCTCTGCTGTTCAGCGCATATACAGATGCTATCACCAATAAGTTGCTTCCCTTTTGTTAGCGACTCTACTGAGAACTTTACCCTATGTATACGAAAACTTTAACAAACTATTTCTTGTAAATTTTATGTGATCCGCATTTTAAAATACCATCTCACTGATGGAAGTCCACACGAATGCAAGAAATATCCGAGTACCTAAAATATCACTGTATTAGCGCTAAATAAATCTGTTAAACATTTTAATTAGCATACAGGACAAACCCACAAACTCAAGCCACAAAATACAGTGAATTAAACAATTGATTAAAATGATATATTATTTTATTTGAATAATGATTACATACACCGTACACAAAGATTAAATAACTAGCTTTTCATTCTCAAGTGTGCATGTTTAATTAATCTTAAATTATGATTTCTAAAATTAATTTGATTAATAATTTTACAGTATTAATTCCATTTCAAATTAACTCTTGGTTAATGTGATGTAGGTGATAAAACTGCACTCAGTGCTCAGTGGACTAGATATAAAAATTTATTGCTGAAGCTACAGCTTACTGCGTGCAGATGTCATTGTCAACAGGCGAACAAGAATAATAACGTTAATTCACAGCAAACTCTGGGGTAATAAAATCCCTCATTTAATCCACAGAGTGCAATCTTGTAACCTTTACTGTATTATCATATTTTGTTCTAGATATGGTGAGATTTACAATAAAAACACGAACAGAAGTGATGGCAGTTATTGGATTATTTAATAGCTGTCTCATTACGCGATAACCATTTGATACGACTGATGATTTTAAGAGTTAGAAAAAAAAATGCACTTAGCCATTCACTCTAACAAAAACAAAGGATTATAAATTATCAATACAAATCATTATTTACATATTTTGAATGTTTTAAAAAACCTTGCACCTTAACATTTACAAAACAAAAAGAAGGTAGGATTACATAATACAAAAATATTTACATACAAGCCACCTCTGTTGGCCATAACTGTTTGGATCAAGAAAATATACAAACATCTTCGGGTATAATATGTTATAAAACATCTCTAAACAGCTTAAAAATAAGTAAGTGGTGGAGTTGTCAAAAAAAAAATTGAATCAATAAACTATGGCTGTACAATAAGCAAACTTATATTGATGTAAAGAGTGACAGAATCAAGGTATATAAACAAATAAGTTAAATGTAATATGTAGTTGAATGCCATGGTGTCATTCGGCTAAAACTATAAAGTTAATTCTTATGGGTCTAAAAATTCAGAATAATGGCATTAGTCATATTGAAATAGCATTACAGTACCCGCTGCAATTTTGGAAATCAGATTCCACACTAATTGCAAGCTCAGTGGTCTAGTGGTTATGACACCAGGTTAGTTACCAGGAGGTCGTAGGTTCATTCCCAACCAAATCACAGATTTTTCTGCAAGTACTTGGGAATGTACAGAGAATTCAGTACGATATACCAGGTAGGGCAAAACATCACTCGTATATAAGCCATATGACTCTTGTTATTATACCATGACCTTTGACATAGACATTTGCACTGGAAACTACGAAAGGATTAAGACAGTCACCAAATAAATGCAGAATACCAACACTCTGAATTATCTATTTTTTTACTGTTACTATTTTCCATATAACCATAATTTTCAAATATCATAATTTCTAAATTTGTTTATTATATCACTTTGTGGCTGTCGTTTCCATTCTGCAAAACTTGAAGCTGTGGAAGAACAGTGAGATCTGATATTATATCAACATGAAATAGTTATTCATGATGATAAGTAGTGATAACATGAGATTAGGTGAGGTATGAGAATAAGGCAAAACAATATGAGATCATGTGAGGTAAAATAGGATTTATTAGAAATAATGTGAGATATTTAACACCAAAATATACTGTGAGCTTAACAGACATTTTTTTTAAGTTCCTTCCTGTGTGCCAAAACAAGTTTACATATACAAACATACTTTTTTTGAAATTTTATCTAGTAATATATCTTCAAAATGATGTATCTAATAAATTGGCCAGAAAATATTAGGAGGCAAGTAAATTCATTGACGGCACTGGGATAGCACTTTATATGGACTACTCCAAGTGCCAGTCATCTCGTCTGCTTTTTGCATTAATCGGTATTTGTTCAAAGGGCGCCCCCACTTGTACCGCTTGAGTGTACTACTGGCAACATAACACAACAAACATACATACGTCATTTGTACGTTATTGTCTAGGTGTATTTTCCGCGAACTACCAGACATTGAATGTGTGGTTCTACAATATATGACAAAGAAGTTATAAATGCTGGAATGGAATGTTACCCCCATTTTGACAAGTCAAGTCCCTGGCGCCCTCAGCAACACCTGTGGGCAAGTATACTTGTCGCTGGCAGCCAACGTCTTAAGATTAATATCAGATAATGTGAGGTTACCGTTAATATAAGACAATGCAAGGTTAATTTATGAGATAATGTGAGATTAATGAAAGTTAAAAACTTAAAAGCAATGTTAATGGGTTTGTCCTTTCATAAATATTTACTTCTTCTGATGTTTTTTTATTTTGTTTGCTAGCACCCAACTTTTTTTTTTTTTAAACTTGTAACCATAGTGGACTCAGTCTTGTATGAGAGGTTCACTGAAAACTGTTTTTTAGTCATGACAACATTTTTAGGCAAAATTCTAGAATTGAAAGATGGGCGCATAACCTACAAAAATACAATTCCTCCTCTTTATTAAACTTACCTTGGTTGTTCCCATATTTTGCATCATCTTCTTCTACATCTTTGGTGGTATCTTCAATCATTGGGTCTGTCTTTACTTTCATTGACCAATGCATTGACTGAAAGAAGAAATGAATGATTGTAATGAACTGAAAAGTTCAGTGACATACCTATGTGCTCTCACTGGGCCAGGGTCCCTGCATCTAAAGCTCTGCCCAGACCATTTGATTTGACAAAAAAACATGTGACATGCCTAAATATTGTCATAATGACATCGCATCATGACCATATATAGGCACATCATGACTATATATGGGCATATCATGACTATATATAGGCACATCATGACTATATATGGGCATATCATGACTATATAAGGGTATATCATGATGGGCATGTCATGACTATATATGGGCACATCATGACTATATATGGGCACATCATGACTATATATGGGCATGTCTTGACTATATATGGGCATGTCTTGACTATATATGGGCATGTCATGACTATATATGGGCACATCATGACTATATAATAATGGGCACATCATGACTATATATGGGCACATCATGACTATATATGGGCATGTCATGACTATATATGGGCACATCATGACTATATATGGGCATATCATGACTATATATGGGCACATCATGACTATATATGGGCATACAACATTTATTTGTCCAATAAAATTTGATTAGTGTGGACAGAGCTTAAGAGGCTCCATGATTTTACTGTGGAATTTTTTGTCTGGACCATTTTTGAACCCGAAAAATCGGATGAGTTAGATCATTTGGCGCAGCGGGAACGGTTTGGTTTCCCTGCCCCGAGGTCAGGGTTTCAATCCCTCGCTGTGCATTTCACTTCTGTCCTTGGGCAAGGCACTTTATCTGCATTGCTTCTCTCCATCAAGGAGTATAAGTGTGTACTAGGGTTAAATGCCAAAATGCACTGATATAGCTGCTGCAACATTATGGAATACTCCCCCAGGGAGCTTAAATATGTGTTCCATAGGCATTAAATCCAACGACCGGGGTATATGATGTGAAGGGCATAGAGGGCTTAACAATATGCGCTATACAAGTCTATAGTAGGCCTACTTACTGTTTTAACAGAATCTTTTAGGCGAGACCATTCTTCGTAAGGTATATGCAATCCGGAGGACAGCCACATGTCGTACTCTTTGCGTTTCTCTTCATTGACGAGAATATCCCGTGCTCGCTGAATCTTGCTAAATTCTTGCGCAGCGATCATGTCATCTGGGTTTTTGTCTGGATGATATTTTAATGCTTTTATCTTGTATTCAGTGTTGATCTGCTCAACCTTAATAACAATATTTAAAAACTTTGCTTAAGTAAATAAAATAATTTACTAAACACTCATAAAATAAACAATAATCAATATTTATACAGCAACTTAAAGATGCTTAACAACGGAAATGTATAAATATAAACTGACCTATACTTACTGTTGATAGTGGATTGCAACCTAGTACTTGATAAAATGTTTCTTCCTTTCTTGGATCATACTGTAGAATAGCATCCATCCTTCAGCAAATGAGATGAAAACCTATCAAAGGTACAATATTTCTCATACCATAAGCAATCCTAATTTTTACATCTCATAATAAACTAATAATGATATTATATAGTGCACATATTTACAAAAATAGCTCCAAATAGCTTGAGATTTAGATAATAACTTTTACCAGGAAAAAAATCCAAAAACATAACCCGCGTTGTCGCGTTGTCAATGACAGGTTGGCACACCATTTGTACAGTACACATACATTCATCAATTTGATTCTGCACTCATGGACGCGATTAAATATTTTCCCGAGCTCTGACTGGCTGCACATTACTGCACTTCGCAAGAAGTAGAAACTGTTCGAACTCCAAAATGCGCCAACAAAGCAAATCACCACAACCGAAAAAGCTAACATCTGGTAGGGTGTATGCATACGGTCAAACGCTTGCATTTCCCGAGAATAAATTTGGCTAGGGCTAGTGGAAAATCAGCTAGGCCTACAATCACTCGGCCATTCGACTTGCCTGACAGATAGGGAAACTTGCCACATTTGACATGGCATAATACAGCGATGCAGAATACATGGGTATCCTACTAATAAAAAACAGGCCAATGGGGACTTAGCAACAGCTAGCCTAGGCCTTATCTCCCTTTGGATCAGTCTCAGCACGGCTCTAGCCTACCTGGCCTTGCTTGGTCTTCTTTATGGTCTAGCCAGGCCTATCTAGAAAGCAAGGGGCCTAGGCTAGGGGCCTAGACTCCTAAGCCTAAATAAAGCTACGAACTTACACTGAAGAAACTACTATGAAAGACAATTATAAATGCCTATATGAATGATGGAAGCTAACCAAGCATTGATCTTACCAAAGCTCATATAAAAGCCTATACTGTATACAACAATTTGATTTTATTATATATAGGCCTAATCTCTTGTTTGTACAGAATTCCCTCCCTGACGTACAGTCGTTGTCGTCTGAAATTGCATGTATCATTCAATTTTTGAAATAACAATATATAATAAATTATATACAAAGCTTACATAAACTATATGCCTAAACTAATAAAATTTATACACAAAATATATTTATAAATATACAGTTATTTAATTAGAAATTATTATGTATCAAATAAAATGCATTATTACCATAATTTTAGGGGTTTAATTTCTCGGAAATCACTGTCAACAAAAATGGCTGACTCTCAACCAGAGATTTCTGCGGTGCAAACAAAGCGTCCTCGGCTTGAACAAGACGAGCATATTTCATCATCTTCGTCCTATTTTAATGCATCTGTTTCTAACCCTCATCAAGAGAATGCTAATTCACAGCCATCGTCAAATCACTTACCTGAATATTGCACGTCAAGTGTTGACGATGTCAGGGCCAGGCCAAATCTCCAAGGTTCAGCAGGTCCCGGGGAGGAAGCACGGTGCAGCAGCAGCAGCCTCGGAGGCCTTGATGAGCTTAGCTCAGTAGCAACCCAAGGTAGGCCTAGGCCAATGCAGTTCATTTTAAAGAGCGGTGTTTCCTTTTTTGCATAAAATAAAATAAGTTTAATACTATTTTATTAACCGTAACGTAACATAGCATTCTGAATTGGAAATTATTGGAGAACATTGTTCGAGTGTTTTTTTTATAATCCCAACCCAATCAGAGAGTCCAGGAAAAGGCCCCTGTGACCCTAAATTTTTTTCCCGATATGGTAACACTTTCCTATTCGGGATTTTGACAAGCACCCATACACGGATGTGCTTCTAGCTATCTTAGGCAGTATTATTATCATTATTGATATTTTTTAAATTTTATATAATTATGATAATGAATAATAAAATAATGAGCATTTATTTACATCAACTTGTAGATGTGAATAATGCACTACCTATGGACAATGAGCCATCATCTTCTACATTAAACACCAACCAACCAACCAATGAGAATATTGAAGAATCAGATGATAGTGATGAAGACTTGGACTTAAACCTGGGAAACTGGACACCACAGCCAGCAAAGGGTGACCATTATTATACCATAAACTTCATCAGCAGCAATATTAATAGGTTTACTTGTGTATAAAAATAAACATATCTTGGTATCTTTGTTCAATAATATAAAATTTACCAAAATAAAATAAAAAATTCATAGCAGACAAATGCTGAAATTGAAGATTTCATTTACAAATATAATTTATGTTCAAACAGTTATTTAATATTAAGTCAATATACATAAATATTATTTAAGCAAAAAACATAAACTTATACAAAAAAGTCAATATAATTAAGATAAATTACAAAAAAGGTGACGCCGTAACATTGAAAAACAATCACATGAACAAAATCATTACAGGGACAAGACTGATGTCAAACCAACACTAAAAAGAATTAAAAAGAAGGAAAATTTTTTTTTAAATATAAAAGCGAGTTACATTTAAATGTACATGGAATGTATGCGCTTGAACATTCAATAATAGATGAAAAGTCCAACAAGGAAGCAAGCAAACAAGTGTGAAAGCAAATTAATACTGTATTTTCGGATTACAAGTATGTTACTTTAACATACCATATATTTATAATTTTTATTTAATTAAGTCATTTCAATTTTTTAACTTTGTAATTTATTCTGATTGGTCTGTACACAAGGACTCTTTTTTTTAAATAATTTTTTTATATTGCTCGTTTAATAACAAATTTTTAAATCATTTTAATCAGGTCCGTTGGGTTGGCTTCAACAACAGATGATAATGGGAGTAAACCCTCGCACCATCCTCTGCAAAGTTTTCCCAGCCACCGTCTTTCCCGAAGGAATGGATGAATGCCAGCTTTGGGCGCTTCTCGTTGAGTATTTTGAATATCTGAGTGAGCCGAAACGAAGATTAAAACTAGACAACTACAATACTATGGATGATGTCATAAGTCTGTTGCTATCTTGCTCGAAAGTTCTTGTACTTACGGGAGCAGGGGTAATGTAGAAGCTATTTGAAAACCAAATTTTGATACCGATTTAGGTATAAATATGATTCTAAAAACACTTTGTTTGAAAATGTAGTTTTATAAACTTCTATGTTTTTTTTTCAGTAGCCAGAGGTCATCGAGTGTCCAAAACAATAAACTCCTCACTACCCAAGCTTCACAAACGTAGTTATAGACCATCAAATAATCAGCTCTCCACTCCCCAACTCATAAAGACTTGGTTAGAGAGCATCAGGGGTCACAAATGATCAGTTGTCTACTTCCTAAGCCTCGTGGACTTTTGTTATGGAGCATCATGGTTCCTAAATGATTTGCTTTCCATTCCTCAAGCCTCATAAAGACTTGGTTGTAGAGCATCCAGGGTCCCAGCTGTCTACTCCATATGCCTCGTGGTGTTCAATTATAGAGCATTAATGGTATAAATTGCACTGTCCTCTTTTCAAGCCTCATAAAATGCTCGGTTCAATTATGATCAGCTGTTCAATGTCTCAGACTTTATTGATCATATCTTTGGATGTACGTGTGCTTTGATTGTAGGTGTCTGTGTCCTGTGGTATTCCGGACTTCCGATCGAGGGATGGCATCTATGCACGGCTGAGCCAAGACTTTCCTGATCTCCCTGATCCACAGTCTATGTTTGATATCCATTATTTCCGAAAGGATCCAAGGCCATTCTTCAAGTTTGCAAAGGTAGGAGTGATAAAATGATAATGTATAAGAGAATCTATGGGCTCCACGTTGGAGTGAAGGTGTGGCTTAGAATGAAATGCTTGTTTAACAATCAAGGTGTTCAACAATTAACACTTTATATAAGAAAACAACTATTCTTTCTTATTACCATGCATATTTTTGCTTTTTTCAGGAGATCTACCCTGGTCAGTTTGAACCGTCTGTTAACCATCAGTTCATCTCAGTTTTAGAGCAGCAAGGAAAACTTCTACGCAACTACACACAGAATATAGACACATTAGAGCAAGTGGCGGGTATCAGTAAAGTCATACAATGCCATGGTAATAACATTGGGCTTATTCTACTGGTTCTTTTTGTTGAATACGATTTTTCGTTGAGTATTATTTTCATTTGACTGGTTCATAAAATAGACTTCGTTGACGATGAAAATTAAGGTAAACCAGAGTGCGTTAATCAGCAGTAAGTTATCCACGTGACCAAAACAAACGTGTCCGATTGGTCATTTCCGTTAATATAATTTTGATTGGATTTTAGAAAATAAAAATAATAATATTTACCCACATGAAGTTCAAAAAAAATTGTATGCTAACAGAATTCAAAAACTGGATGAAAACATTTTTTTTACGAAAAACCCATACTGCCACAATCTGAAGCAACCTTGATTACGCAGCGTGTAACTATGCAGCCATTTTTTTTTTGTTGAGTATTTAACAGTCTTTTATTCGACTGGTCTTCTTTGTTAAGTAGGATTTTACCACTGCGCAGGTGGGCATGGTTTAATAAAGTAACCTTTTAATTTTTATATATATTATTAGTAAAAATAATTATTATTATCAGGAGTGGAGCCGTAGCTTGTTGGTTGAAGTTAAGATCCTTGCCTTTGATTCCGAAGCCCTGGTTCAAATCCTGTAATAGGAGAATTACAAAATTTAGCTCCACTCCCTAAAGCTCTTTCCAGGCTTTCAAATTTTCTTTGACAAAAAACTGTTGTATACCCATATATAGTCATGATGTGCCTATATATGGTCATGATGTGATGTCATCATGACCATATATAGGCATGTCACATGTTTTTGTCAAATAAAATGTGTTAGTCTTGATAGGGTTTTAGTCTCACAAAGAGGGAGTTCATAGATCTTCATTCCATCCTGTAATTAGCAAGTTACTTGCTGTTGGGTTTGAAAGAAATAAAAGAAAATAATGCATTATTGTTAGTAATAAAAATATAGAGATTTATACCGTGCCTTTTGCCAAGAGATACAAGATGCTGGCGATGTTTTTATTATTACCCGTGGTCACCGGGTCCGTAATCAAACCAACACAAAGTGCAACCTACTCCACTCCCTGGGGAGTATTCCTAGTAAAACAAAAAGACAGTCACTCCGAAAAGAGACAGACAAATTTTGAGATTCAAATTCTTGACTGTCTCTGTCTCTTTTCAAGGATGATAATGTAAATGTAATAATACAGTAAAAAGTAAATATAGAAATAATTATTATTGGTAGTATAAACATAGCTTTAGTTTGAGATTTATTATAGATTGTCGTTTGTTGTTACAGGTTCCTTTGCAAGTGCATCGTGTACCAGATGCAAGCATAAAGTTGATGCAGATTTCATCAGAGAAGATATATTCAACCAGGTAAAGATTGATTGATTGATTGATTGATGCTAACAATATCAGATGCTGTAAAGCTTTTTACAAATCTTGAACTATCAAATGGTGTTTCTTTATGTACTTTTACAGTAACATCTCCCAATTACGAACCTCCCAATTACGAACTCTTGATTTCACGAACCCAAATTGCAATGATGACGTCATTATGAACGTCGTTTTTAACTACAAAACACTTAAAATTGTATTTAAAAGTCTTCAAAAATAATATAAAATGGTATATCAACTCAAAATGAAAACCAATAAAGTAACATAAAACTAAGTTTAAAGCAAAAAATGTTGATCAGCCAAGCTGAGATATATTACATTTGTGCTGTGCATGCTTTTTCAGGCATACTGTATGTCAGTAAATCTCACTTTTTGTTTATTGAGGGCACTATTTGCATGGATTCGCAATTTTAATGAAGGGAATAATAACACTCGTTTTGGCCATTATTTGGTGATGTTTTCATTAGGAAAACACTTCAAATGATTACTTCACAGTATGTACAGGTAATTTTGACTTCTGTAAAGTATTATTTTGTTGCAGAAAACAGTAAAATTCAAGTAATTTTCCATGACAAAATTTTGCTTCCATGGCAAGGCTTAGGCCTACCTAGCTCTGCACTTCGTAGCATGGCCAAGGCCTACCCTCACCACACTGAGATGCTATGAAAATTCAAACTCTCTGAATTACGAAAATTTCTCGATGGAGATGTTACTGTACTCATCATTTTTCTATTATTTTTTACTTTTAATTCACTGCATAGAATCACAGCTCCAGCGTGAAAATGGCAATATTAGGATGTTCCTCTTTTGATGGGAAAAAATTACTTAATCGTGGTTAAAAATAGATTTTTGAAAATGAACCCCCTCAGTTACAAATAATCTATTGTAATTTTTTCTTTTATCTTGTATATATTAGGTGGTTCCTTTGTGCCCTAATTGCCCTCAAGACAGCGATGAGTTAGCTGTTATGAAACCAGATATTGTGTTCTTTGGTGAAGGTCTTCCAAACTCATTTTATGAATCTTTAGACGATGATAAAACTGAAGCTGATCTACTTATTGTCATTGGTTCATCACTTAAAGTCCGGCCAGTTGCAACCATACCAAGTAAGTCAACTTCCTATCTTTACTTTAAAAAGATTTAGTTGCTTTTTACATGATCAAGGACCCTGAGGTTGGAAAGTCAGCATCTTAACCATCACGCTACACTCCACCCTATCAGCAATGCAGGATTTTTATCTATGATTTTGAAATTGATTAAAAAACCTTAACCGACATAGTACAGTTTGACTCCAACTTACCATAACACATGATGCTAAATATTTTCTGAAATCATATCTTTGAAAATTCCTTTTATTGGATAGCATACGATATTTACAAACGATATTTAATATAAAACCATCTTTATTTTGAATTTATTCTGACAGATATGCTTCCTCATGATATACCTCAAATTCTGATCAACCGAGAACCTCTTCCTCATATGACCTTTGACATTGAATTGCTTGGCGACAGTGACATTATTGTGAATGAGTTATGTCGTCGTCTTGGTGATGGCTGGAACCAGATATGCCACACAAATGAGAAACTAGAAGAATCATTAGAAATGCCAATGCCAGCAAAGATGCTGTTTGAGACGATGCCAACACCTCCTTATAGTCAAGGAGAATGTGAGGAACCCACTCAGGGTGATGGCACACTGACCACAGTTGAGCAGACTGGAAGCCTAGTAGATGATGTGTTTGCACTTGAACAGAAGAGTAAGCAGGATGGCACAAAGGCAGTCACAGAGTTGCCAGCAGCCACTGATGCCACACAAGAGGACAAGACAAACATCAGTATGCAGGGTCGAGAGGAAGACCAGAGTACAAAAGATAACTCAACTCAAGTAGGACATCAAGTCAATGGCGATAAGCATACAGTGGAGGAATACACCAACAAAGAGGCAGATCTCACACCTGAGAGATCTGCTGAGGTAAAAGATGCAGCAAATGCAGAATCACAAGTCAAGGAATGTGTGATGGACAAGGCATCATCCAGTAGTTCTCTTGATGTCAATGAAAAAGGCGGGTCAGTTGCAGAAAGTCAAGTAAAGATAGGAGTAGGTAGAAAAAAGAAAACACAGAGGAGATACAGTAGAGACAGCATTGCAACACACCTTAAACGTAAGTTCTGCATTTAAACTAAAAAACATGATAATATTTTTTTTCTTTTATATTTAATGCACTTTATCAGGGGAATGGGATAGTATGTTGGCATTGCTAGAGGGAAAAATAAGAGAATAGAGTGCAGGTCTCCCTTTAACTCCAATAGACACATTCCGCAAGGTTTGTTTACATCCGGTCACAAGACATATAGTGGGCATTACTATGGAGAATTTACAGTGCAATCAGTGTTGAAGTATAGGATAGGGTAATGCTTTGGTTGCGAAAACAACTGCCTACCATTAGCATGAAAAATTACTGGCACGGAAAGGCACTATGATTGTTCAAAATAGTATTTATTTACTTATTCTAGCGTTCAATGTGCATTCTATCCTTTGGAACCTTAGCCTCAAAGTTGTAGTGTGTCAGAATCGCAGGTCGCGGATCGAAAACTCTTGTGCACTCATACTGTACCAAAACACGCTGTAGATATGCAGGAGCCTAGGCCTAGCATTTCTTAAAAAATCTCAATGTTTGGGGCTGGTATCTTTTTGGTGCATTAGCAAACCATTATGGTAAAACTCTAAATTTCAATTTCCAATAAATTTGGTATACTGTAGTTACTGGTATTCCAACCAACATTATTCAACATCAAATATGTGCTTTACAGCAGAAACGCTCCGAAGAAGCCATGCGTTTCCTATTACTCTACATCACATGACCAAACTAGGGGAATGTGTCTATTAAAGGTCACCTTTCTGCCGTCCAAAGTAAATGTAAAATCTTTTATTTTATAATTGTTGTAATTAAGTAAAGACCAAAGCTGCTAAATACCAGAAAAAAAACCTGTTCCCAATACATGTACATGCTCTTTGGCTGATGGTCATCAAAACTCTCATTAGTACCATGTCGTACTAGATTCATAGTTTGGATCATTATGCCTATTTTCCCACCCTATCCGTGGACATACAGTAGTAGCATATTTCGTCACTCACATCACGAACTAACACAATCAAATTAGATTTAGTTTGTGAAATCACAAAAGCGCGTCAAAATACGCGCAGTTGTTGTTACAGACTTTTTTTGTGTTAAAGAATACGAAAGTGCCAGACAACCAATTTGCGCCTGTTTTGACGCGCTGCTGTGATTTCACGAACTAACACAATCTACTTCAATTGTGTTAGTTTGTGATGTGATCGACGATTTCAAAAAATTCTCACTAAAGTCACTTTTCCTTTTTATGTCATCAGCATCAACCTTTTTGTTTCTCCCACCAAATCGTTATATATTCCATGGAGCCGAGGTTTATCCAGACAGTGACTCCGAGGAGGAATCTTTTGACCAGGACTCTTCCTTAAACACTTCTTCAAGTTCGTCACATGACCCTTCAAAGAACACCGCAGCACCAGTACCGGATGATGTCATAGCCTCATCAGAGGACTTAGCGTGTAGCGATTCGAAAAATAATACCGATTCTTTAACCAAAGTTTGTTCTGATAGCCCTGTAATTGGGAGTGAGAATGGTGTTCTTGCAGCCAGTTTGTTACCATCAAATGGGATATCCCATGAGGCAAATTGTGAAATAACATTTGAACTGCCAATTGACAACAGTAGTAGTACTAAAGGCACTCAAGAGGTTACAAAAGAGATTGTGTGTAATGTTATGCCATCTGAATCCAACCAAAAAAGTTCTTGATTTATTCTACCAAAAGAAGACTAATCCAAGTCTTCCAATTTAGCCCAGTACAATCACTTTATTGATGTTAACAAGTTTTATAATTGAAAAATATGGGACAATACTGTACCAAATATATAAGTTTTTATATTTTTCAAAGTTATAACATTTGGAAGTTAATATTTTAGTTGTATTAATTTATTCTTATTTTGTTACGCATTTCTGTAGCAAAATCAATGTTAACAGATACATAGAACCACATACTAAGTTACAACCACATACTAAGTTACAAAGTCCATTAGAATGGCAGTAAATTTAAGAGTAATATAACAAATATTTTTGACAATTAATTCTAATTTTGTTATTTATTTTGCATATCTTTGTACAGTGTTGAAGTTGAATTACAAATTATAAATAAGGTAATAAGGTAGCATCTCCAAGATCATAATATAATTAAACTTTGTATATAAATGACAGAATCTGATTGGTCAGCTTGTAAATATACAGTATATATAAGTTAAACTACTGTACTAGTCCCATGGTTTATGTGATCGATTAGATTGATCATGCTTGTTTTAAATATAAACATCATGGGCTGTCCACTCCTATGATTGGAGGAACACCTAGAACTGGTACTAAATTTATTTGTATTAAGTATTTTTAAAGGTATTCTCAGGAAATTAATAATCTTAAGGCAAATTATCTGCATAAACTGCAAACAACTTGGTTGAAACTTAGCATGTATATGGGCAGCCAATCTATTTTTGTGTTAAAAGCTCTAAACAAATTGTACACTGCAGCAAAGATTAAACTTATAAACATAATATTTTGGTATGATATCCCAAGTAGGTTTGTATATGATCTATTAGTGGCCGTTAACTAAATTAAATGCTGCATTTAAATGCTATAACTGCAACAGGTTAAATTTACTGTACACAATTGATTGTTAACATACCTTTTGTAGTTATTTATTTGCACCAAATTAAGCAATTCATTGTCTTAATGTATTAAGTAGTAATGTTAACATTTTAGTACTAGGGTACCGTACCATTTACACACAGTGAATGTTAAAAACTAAGAAGGAATTACCTTTATGCTGTACAAGAAAATCTACAATTTACAAGGTTGATAGATTCTAATTTTTAAAATTTAAATGTTAGATTATAATTTTCTGAATGTATGTAAATCCTGTAGATCAGGGTGTTCTGACTTGCAATGATCAATTGTTTTAAATTAACACACATATTTTGGAGTGTTCTTCATGGAAAAACATACATTTTACTTTTGCATTCTACATGAAAATCTATCAATTTTAATATACTGTACGACTATTTACAATTCGATTGGTGAATACATGATTACTGTATGCATTGATTTCACTCTTGTTTTAGGGTGTCATCTAAGGTAAACAGGGTTTGTTGTAGAATTTTATGCCATTGAGTCTTAAATTGTATTCTTTTATTACCGTACAAAATTTTCATAGACCAGATTCCTTGTAAAATTGAACATTTGTTATTGATGATAAAAACATCTTGAATTTATGTAATGATGCTAATATATTTTCAGCTCAGTGCATATAGACACATTTGTGATAGTATATAGCAAGAGATCACATGCTGTGTGTGGTTTAGGGGCCATTATTTCAATGATTATTTAAACAGGTACAAGAGGCTTAAATTAATAGTGCACTGTGGAGGAAAATTAGGATTATTTTAACACATTGACTGCCATGTGGTATGGTGCGATTCATGTATGCCAAGTCTTCTTGTACAATAAATCTTGTAGGACGTTCAGTAATATTAAAGACTAAGGAATAAAATTATTATTATTAATATGCAAAATCCCTTCCCCCACAACTAAGAGTACATTTTGAACTGACTGGGCATATTAATAAGAAATACAAAAATTATGAAGCATGTAGAAGTGCACTGTAATAGGTGGCAGTCAATATGTTAATTAGCAAGATGATAAATAAATACTGGTTCGCATCTATGCATGAAGGATGATTCTGTGTTACAGTATTTACAACAAACATTTGTCACAGTAATTTTAGTTCGCATTGATTTGTAGTGCTATTTGCTGCCCTCTACAGCTCTTACCATAAAAGCATGTGTTTGTAAATAAACTATGGTAAAGTGTAAAACATTAGTTAATTACAGCGATTGTATTCAGTTAAGTATATCTTTATTACGTTAATCAGATAGTTTATTTTATTTATACTCTACTTTTAAATCAAGTACAGTATTGGAACATGGCAGACAAAGCAACATTTGATTTTTATCAAATGCCTAAAACAAAATTCAGCATATGTGACAAAGACAAGCCAAACCAGTCACTCGTCGCAAATCCTGTTACAGAGAAAATGGCCAAAACATGCTGGAATGTCAAATTTTTAAAAATCTATTTTATTGCACTAAACTAGCTTGATATATCTATACATCATTCTATGCTGTTATTTTCCCCATTTTCAATGTTAAAACAACAATTTTTAAGGATTTAAAGATAGTTTCTGCATGAGAAATGCCTGAAATCATAAACTTTGAAGGCTTATTTCTCAAATATTGTTCTTTAAACAGCTGTGTGATTAAACGCTTGTAACTTCATAAGGAAATGTCCGATTTGAATGATTTTTTAACCATGTTATAGCTATTATTTTACTCTCTAACACTGTAATAACTCAAAATTGATTTTTGCGACGAGTGACTGTTTTGGCTTGTCTTTGCCACATATAGACAGTCATTGTATTCTTTATCAACTAGTTTATTGCACTGTCTATACCATGTAAACACTAATTTTAACACAGTGCTGAAAGTGGCACAGTAAGACAGCAATTAGCAAATTTGTTTAAAGCTATGAGTATTGTGTATTGTATAATTTTATTAGTTTATGGTGCTCTGGTGTGCGGCAGCTGATCTGGCATCCACTTTTTGATTTCTCAACCATATAGCCAGCCCTGTCCAGACTATCAAATTTTAACATGACATGCCTAAATATGTGGCCTAAAAAAATCATTACTTGTTTGCCCTTCCTTTTTTAAAATGATAGAAAGGGGCAGGTGGAAAGGCCAGAATGACAATATCTTATATCAGACAACAACTTTAGACTAATTTGTAGGGCATCTGGCAAAAAAGAAAAAAATAAATTCACTCACATTTTTTTTAATTTGTAAAGAAAAAAGCTAAGGTTTTTTTGTTTTTCTGCCAGTTAGGAATGGTGGAGGAGGGCAAACAATTTTTTTGGCCTGGTCATGATGACCATATATAGGCATATAATGACTAAATATGGGCATGATGACAATATATAGGCACATAATGACTAAATATGGTCATAATGACAATGTATAGGCACATAATGACTAAATATGGGCATTAGAATGTGTTAGCGTATTCAGGCCCATAATCAGGTTTCCCTTTTTAACCCAGAGAACCATGGGGTTTATGCCCTAAGCCTGCAGCATTGTAACTTATAAAAGATGAATTTCATTAGCTGGAAATGTATGGCACAACGTAGACAATACAGTAGTTTCCCAACCCCCGAGGTCAGGCATTTCTTCTCATTGCTTCTCTTCACCCAGGACAGTGACCCTGGAGCATAACTGGGTACATTTGCCTGCTACTGCTACTAGTACAAGGAAAAGCAACCTATTGTTGTTGATGCTTAGCGAGGTGTGGGTTCCCTCAAGAAGGGGTTCCGCAAAACCTCAGAATCCCCTGGTTACGGGCCTGGTATGCTTTTTTCCATGTCTGCTGGAATTCAGACACGTCTATTCCATGCTTTGGTGTTTTACATGTATAAAATTGTAATTAGAAAATTAGTTTAACCAAGAACAACCAAAAATATTTAGCAGTACAATTACCACTTCGGGCATAATTCTCACTACATACTGTAATTCTATTTGTACAGAACAATTATAACCTTTATATATGACAATAACTTTTTTTTTTATAACTTGTTAGTTCTTGTTTTACTTTTCTGGTGTTTCCTTCTTTGGGCTATTGACAGAATGAATTTGGTTTTGTTTTCATAGTATTAACGAGAATTATGTAAGATGATATTAAATTAAATATTTCAGTTTAATCAATTTCTGTATGATTTGTAGTGTAATTCTTTTGAATAATACATACATTTAGGTACAATGGCTAGATTGCCAAAAGCGAGTTTTAATCAGTAATACCTTTTACAGTATGTACAACCAGGGAGTCTAAATAACAACTCCCTGGTACAACAATACAAAAATACCAATTGGATACAAATAGAAATTTCAACTGTTATGGGATTCATAGGTACCAAAAGAAGGAAGAAGGGACTAAACCCTGTAAATTGAACATGGGGTCTTAATTGTTAAAAAAAAAAATAAAAAAAAAATTCAAGATCAGTGTTTATTGAGGAAGGGAGAGGTGGGGCCACCAGTCAGCAATATTACCAAAACATTTTAAAATCAAGGAAAACATCTCTGCATTGAAAAACTAGGAAAAGTAAACTATTACAGCTTATGTACAACTACTGTAGCTCGAGGATAATCTTCAGTTCACGACAGGAGTAGGACAATGAGAAGAAATCCTGATTTACTTTATTTGCTCATGAATATTCATATGCAAGCATAAAATCTTTTTTTTTTCAATTTGTAAAGTCAGTCTCTGCAGTCATTAGAGATTTTGTCATACATTCTCAGATAGAACGATACACAGCACTGATAAATGTCATGGAGAAACAATGTAGTGTACTGTATGAAAAATGAAAAAAAAACAAAAGAAGCTGGTTTTTTTCGTTAACAGACTGGCAGATATTTCTGATCCTTGTGTTATGTGGAAATTACCATTAGCAATTGAAAACAAAGTACTGTATATACTTCAACCAATGCAGAATAATCAGAAGAAATTATTACTGCACTCTCTCCTCTCTGTATGCTTGTTTGTAAAATCTTTACACAGTCATCTACATGTAGTACACGTGAGGGGCGCAATGGCCAGTGTATCCCGAGTACAAATGCCTAAATGATAAATTATTTCAATATTGTTTTTATTATATCCACTTATAGATAGGCTTATCATTCACAATCTGTATCTCCATCTTTACTGGGCATTTAAACCAGAAAGATAAAAGTTCTTCTGTGTAACCAACCAAGAAATAGAACTTCTGTGGGGCCATTACTCTTAACATAACTGCAGTAAGAATGATCATATTGGCCCGCCTCTTGATAATCATATCCGTGGCTAAACAACCGTGAAACGTTCCATAAATAAATTTCCGAAGAAAAACATCCTCAAATATTCTGTTTGCCGATCCATCCTGATCTAAATCTATGTTTCCTGAAGAAAGGAAAAAAATGGAATTCAAATTCATTACGTATTCTGTAGTACTGTATTCGGAGATACCTTTTATTCATGTAATGAAAATCTTCACTGTTAGGAATTTTCCTGTATGTTCAACATTATTTCCCAATTCAAATTTATTGAGAACATATTTAATACAGTGCACCCTCCAATGCGAGACCCCTCTAATTTGAGACCACCTTTTAAAAGAACCAAATAACAATCTTCTAACACAACGCTAACCCTCTAATTGGAGACCCAGCCCTGAGACCACCCCAAATTTCAGGCCCAAAGGTCTCGAATTGGAGGGCGAAGTGTTACATCTGAATTTTCCAATATTTTTTACTGAACATTTATAAAAAAACTTATGAAACCATATCATTTCAGATTAACACTTTCACTTTTTATTCTTTACTCTTTCTAATGTCAATTTTTTAGTATTTTACTTTTCTTTGATTTTACTTTTGATTGACATCTCAGTATTTATTTCAATATTTATTTATTTATTTTTTTAAAATTCAATTTTCTCCATTTCGTTTTTATCTCATCTTGCAAAAACGGCCTGAAAAACACACTACTTCACACCACTTTTTAATCTAATTCTGGTTAGATGTTATTAAATAATCAAATCTATGATCTAATCAACATCCAATCAAAATCGAATTAGCTTAAGACTGGTGTAACAATAGCTACAGCCAAATTTAATTAGGCTATGTTCACACACGGCGTAAGGCTGGCTTAAGCCTGGCGTAGCGTACGCCTTTGTGTGTGAACTAGGCAGTGGCGTTGTTAAAGCCACTCACTACGCCACGTCCTTGGCGTTATTAACGCCAACTGCAGACCCCAGATTAGCTAACGCCAGTGATGCTTGAATGATTTGACCTCATTTCAAGAGATTGACCAATCACGATTGCAATATATTAGCTACTTTGGTCTCTTTTCTGTGCTCTCTATAAATAAAATGGTAAAGGGGTTCATTTTCTATTGCATTTTACTTAGTTATAATGTATATGATTTATTGATTGTGTTTTGTAAGATATTTTAACCATTTAGACTGTCTGATTAAAACATGCAACATCAACAATGCTAGCTGAAAAATCAAAAGTAAAATTGTTCATTTAAAATACAATAATCATATAGGCCGAAGTTCACTTCGAACAATTCACAGATTTAAAAGTTTTCATGATGCACTGTTAATTTTACTACTGTTAACACGTACATTATTTAAAACTGAAAACTATTCCACACCAGATAGGCCAATATTACTGCTAGTGTAACGAACGCCGTTTGTGTGAACACTTTGGAATTTTAATCCGTGGATTAGCTTACGCCTGGCGTAAGCCACGCCAGTCTTACGCCGTGTGTGTGAACATAGCCTAAGTAGGTTAGTAGCTGTTAACAATTCCCACCTGTATGATGAGTATTCCATCCCTTCCTTACTCCAGTATAATATGGCGGGTTTGCTTGTTCATATGTTATTGGCTTCTCTCCTTTGCTCACTTTTACTTTACCAGCTGTGCTTTTGCAAGCTACAACACTTGTTTGGAAGAATCTGATCTGTTGTTTTAATTGAATTCTATTTACAAGACTCTGAAAAAGACAGAGACATTCGCAAAAAAGTTGCATAATGTTTTACTAATTCAAATTTAATCAAAGTCTGTGTTGACTGTGCTAGATATAACTCCAATTTGCCTACAGTAGCTTGGAGTTGAAGTGCACACACATCATCATGGAAACCAGGGTTGGATCTAAAATTTTTCAAATAGGGGGGGGGG